GTCAGAAAGTTCCATCAGACTTTCTGGCTTCAGGAAATCCATTGATACTGTGTCACCCTTTGGGGGTGACATCTTGCTTTGTGCTTGTGTATTGTGTGGGACATCTTGCTTTCTTCGAGACATTGATATGTTCTCGATGAAGATAATGCTCTAGAGATCAGTTGGGTAGTTATCCCACTTGTTTTTTTTTTGTTGTTGTTGTTTTTTTCCCCAGTTTTTAGGTTTCATTTATTCGGGTGGAAATATTTATTTTACATTCGAATTAATACATTTTACACTTCCGGGATTTCACAGAAAGTTTACAAAATACCCTGGCTTCATAGATAATCACTTATACGTTGCATGAATGAAACCAATTAATTGTGTACAATAACGAAACAAACTTCCTGCATATTGCTATTGCAAACTTTTTGCATTTTGCTACTGCCTTAACAGGTCTTCAGTGGGTGGATTCTTCGCTGCTTACTGAGCTGACGTGAGTGCCTAAACATTTCCCCACATCCTTGACATTCAAATGGTCTCTGTCCTGTGTGAATTCTACTATGTTTAGTGAGGTCAACTGATCGTGAAAATGTTTTCCCACATTTCTGACATTCATAAGGTTTCTCTCCTGTATGAATTCTAAGATGTTTAGTGAGGTAGCCTGAGACTGAAAACCTTTTCCCACATTCCTTACATTCATAAGGTTTCTCTCCAGTATGATTTTTTTCTACGATCAATGAGTTTACTTGATTGAGAAAATGTTTTCCCCCATTCCTCACATTCATAAGGTTTTTTCCCCTGCATGAATTCTTCTATGAGAACTGAGTTTACTTAAGTGAGAAAATCTTTTCCCATATTCCTTACATTCATAAGGTTTCTATCCTGTGTGAATTCTACGATATTCCATGAAGTAACGTGAGAGTGAAAATGTTTTCCCGCATTCCTGACATTCGTAAGGTTTCTCTCCTGTGTGAATTCTTCTATGAGAAGTGAGTGTACATGAGCGAGAAAATGTTTTTCCACATTCCTTACATTCATAAGGTTTCTCTCCTGTGTGAATTCTTCTATAAGAAATGAGGTTATTTGATTGAGAAAATATTTTCCCACATTCCTTACATTCAAAAGTTTTCTCTCCTGTGTGAATTCTTCTCTGTTGCATGAGGGTATCTGAGTAGGAAAACCTTTTCCCACAGTACTTACATTCATACAGTTTCTCTCCTGTATGAATTCTTCTATGAAAAATGAGTTTACTTGAGTGAGAAAATGTTTTCCCACATTCCTGACATTCATAAGGTTTCTCTACTGTATGAGTTTTTCTATGTTTAATGAGTGTACCTGACTGAGAAAATGTTTTCCCACATTCCTGACATTCAAAAGGTTTCTCTCCTGTATGAACTCTTCCATGTGCAATGAGTTTACTTGAGCAGGAAAATCTTTTCCCACATTCTGTACATTCAAAAGGTTTCTCCCCTGTATGAACAGTCCTGTGAGAAATGAGCTTACTTGAGTGAGAAAATGTTTTCCCGCATTCCGTACATACAAAAGGTTTCTCTCCTGTATGAATTTTTCTATGTTTAACGAGTGTACCTGACTGAGAAAATCTTTTCCCACATTCCTGACATTCAAAAGGTTTCTCTCCTGTATGAATTCTTCCATGGGCAATGAGTTTACTTGAGCAGGAAAATCTTTTCCCACATTCCTTACATTCAAAAGGTTTCTCCCCTGTATGAATACTTCTGTGAGAAATGAGCTTACTTGAGTGAGAAAATGTTTTCCCACATTCCGTACACACAAAAGGTTTCTCTCCTGTATGAATTTTTCTGTTTAATGAGTGTACCTGACTGAGAAAATCTTTTCCCACATTCCTGACATTCAAAAGGTTTCTCTCCTGTATGAATTCTTCCATGTGTAATGAGTTTACTTGAGCAGGAAAATCTTTTCCCACATTCCGTACATTCAAAAGGGTTCTCTCCTGTATGAATTCTTCTATGTGTAATGAGTGTACCTGACTGAGAAAATGATTTCCCACATTCCTGACATTCAAAAGGTTTCTCTCCTGTATGAATTCTTCCATGTGTAATGAAGTTATCCCACTTATGCTTTTCTCTGAACATCTGACTCCAGGGAAATGTCAGTTCAGAGCCTGTGAGAGCAGCCTCTGGCAGGTAATATAGGTCAAGGTGCTCCGGATTAAAGGCAAGTTGATTAGCCAGATGTGTAGACAAAGGTGTGGAGCCAAATAGGGTAGGGCAAGCACGTGGTTGTGGCAATCACAAGGGCAGGTCAACCACTTGGGAGACCTCACTCAGGCCTCAGTTGTCTGGGTGTGCTTACAATTGGGGGTCCCTATTCAAATTCCAGCTGTTTGTCTCCCACCCAGTGGTTTTCATTCACTGGTCCTTGTCCAGTGGTACTCACGCAGTTGCCCTTGCATCGTGGCCCCTGCCCAGGAAGGCTCCTGAGTCCAAGGGGACTCAACAAGACAAAGTAAAATTCCCACCAACCCACTCGCCTCTGGCTGGTCTGCAGTGTCCACAAAAGTTCCACCAAATTATCACTGGCCCACTCTTTCCTAGGCAGTTGGCATGCCCTGAGAGAGCTCAGCCAAATTCCCACCAGTGGGTTCACCCTTGGGAACTCTCCCAGACAATCGGTGGTGCCCAAGAAAACCCAATTAGGATCCTACCAGCCTTTCTCGTGGCAGATCAGTCCCACAGCAGCTCAACTGGTGGCTTCAGACAATGGCTGTCTCCATGGTGTGCCTTTGTGTGCTGACTCAGAATCGTATTGTCCACAGCTGTTGTTGTGTTGTGTGAAGGAGTCTCTAGTAGCCCTGGAGAATTTAGTCTCTGTATCAGGATCATGTTGAACATGAAGATTGCTTTTCTTTTTTCCATTTTATTATTTTTGTGTGAGTGTACTGTCAAATCAGATCTGACAGGTACAGGAGGAGATTGTCCCTCCTTCCCCAGCAGAGCATCTGGTGGATTCGAACCGTGCGCCTCTGGGATTGTAGTTGCAGCTCCTTACCACTAGGCCACCAGAGCTCCCCAAAGATTGCTTTTGATAGGATTGTCATTTTCACTATGTTGAGTCTTCTTATCCATGAACAGGGGACATTTTACCATTTACTTAGGTTTCTTATTTTTTTTTCTCACATTAGTGTTTTTTTGAGACTTAGTGTGAGCTGAACGTGGCCTCTGGCTTCTTGAGGAGGGCCAGGTGTGAGGGTTCTGGGCACTTGTAAGTGTTCTTTTTGCCCCACTTGGGGATTGGCAGAGTGGACTTGCCAGATGAACTGGGGGTCTGAGACCCAGAGTTTGCCAGCATTTGAGTGTGCTGGGATGGTAAGATACTGAAGGGCCCTCAGGCCTGTCTTTCATTATTTTTGTTCAAACATTCCTCTAGGTCGTATAGCCCTGGTGTGTCCACTTGCCATACAGTAGTAACTTGTGGTTGCTGTGAAACTGAACACTGTGACACTGATGTGTCAAGTGCATTAATGGTTGGTTACGCAACGCGGACAGTGTTTGCTGGAGCTCCCCGATTAAAACAAGCTTGGAGGCAGAAGTGGCATCCACTTCCATAATAGCTTGCCTCTGGAAACCCTATGAACCTGGAGAGAGAATGAAAGACACATAAGCATTGAGTACTCTCCTTCATAGGGTCACTATGAGTTACCTGCAACTCAATGGCACTTAACAACAACAACAGTGTTTTTCTTTATAAAGGTCTATGTAATTTTAGATAACTTTCTTTATAAAGGTCTTTTGTGTCTCTAGTTAGGTTTATTACCAAGTATCTCACTTTGTGGCTGGTTATTGTAAATATTATAAATATTACTACTTTCCTTCTCTGTGTTTTGTTGCTGTAAAGGAATCCCACTTATTTTTATGTATTAATCTTCTATATGCCACTCTACTAACTTGGCCTTCTAGGTCTAACAGGTTTTTTTTGTTGTTGTTGTTGACTTTTTGGGGGGTTTTTGGTACACTGTCATATCATCTGTATTTAGTGATGGTCTTACTATCTCTTTGCTAATCTGGATGCCTCTTATTTTCTTCTCTTGCCCTACTTTCAATTCAATATAGAATAGGAGTGGTGAAAGTGGGGGTATTTTTCTGGTCCCTGTTTGCAAGGAGGATGCCTTTATTCTTTCTCCAAGAGCTATCATAATAGCTCTTGGTTTTTCATATATACTTTTCATTATGTTGAGGAATATATATTGTCCATAGCATCTTTAAATATTGTGACTTGAGATTTAAAGTTGTTCTTCCATTCTCTTAGCTTGAGAAATACAGAGCAAGTTCTTCTCTTTTTATTCTCCAATTCCAGCTCTTTCTGCATACATTCCATTATATGCATTTCTTTGTCCTCCGAGTGCCCTGAAATCTTCTGTTCAATTCTTTTACTTCGATTTTCCCTTTGTTTTGGCTTTTCAACACTCCTGTACAATTTTTAGAGTCTCTTCTGGCATCCATTTTGTTTTTTTCTTTCTCTTCTGTTTTTATAATGACCTTTGGCTTTCATCATGGTTGATATCCTAAAACTCATATGGTCTTCAATCATTAGCGTCCAATTCTTAAAACCAATTCCTAAGATGACCTTGAAATTCATATGAAATAGATTCAAGATAATATCTCAGTACCTGTGGACTTGTTATCATTTTCTTCAGCCTCAATTTGAACTTGCATGTGAGTAATTGATGGTGTGAGCCACACTCTGTCCCTGGCCTAGTTTTGACTGCTGATATTGAGTTTCTCCAATGATTTCTTTCACAAATGTAGTCAATCTGATTCCTATGCAGCCAATCAGGGGAGAGCTATGTGTAAAACCATTTGTGTGTTTTTAAAAAGGTATTTACAATAAAGAAGTAATTGTAAATACAAAATTTGATTATTTTTTCCCAGCCTCATTTCTATCACTAATGCCATGTTTTTCAATTATTATTCTTTCTTCATTGTTTCCAACTTTTGCATTCCAGTCATGATTTATTGTTAACGCATCTTGCTTGCATGTTCAGTCAATTTCAGACTGTAAGATTTGGTAAAATTTTTCAATTTCTTCCTCTTTGGCTCTATATGTAGGAACATATATTTTAATAATAGTAGTGTTAATGGGTCTTCCTTGTATGTGTATGAATAATATCCTATCACTCACAACATTGTGTTTCAGGAATGACTCAGAAAACATCAAAAGAAGATGGGGGAAATCCACAGAATCACTATACAAAAAAAAAAACCAAACAAAAACCTGACACTGAAAAATTTCAGGAAGTATCATATGAACAGGAGTCAATGATAACAAAAGAGGAAGTAGAAGCTGCATTGAAGAAATTAGCAAAAAAATAAGCCCCAGGCATCAATGGAATACGGATGGACTTGTTTCAATTAACAGATGCAGCCTTGGATGCACTCACCACTCTATGTCATGAAATTTGGAGCACAGCTGTCTGGCCAACAGATTGGAAGAAGTCCATATTTGTTCCTGTTCTCAAGAAAGGTGATCCAACAGAATGTGGGAACTATTGAACAATATCATTAACATCACATGTAAGCAGAATACTAAAGATCATTCAAAAGTAGCTACAATAGTACACAGGAAACTACCAGAAGTTCAAGCAGTATTTAAAAGAGGCTGCGGCATTAAGGATCATATTGCTGATGTCAGATGGATCATGGCTGAAAGTAAGGAATACCAGAAGAATGTCTATTTGTGCTTTATTGACTATGCAAACACATTTGACTTTGTGTATCATAACATGTTGTGGCAACATTGAGAAGAATGGGAGTCCCAGATCACTTAATTGTGCTCATGTGAAACCTCTACCTGGACCAGGAGGTTGCTGTGTGAACAAAGCAGAGGAACACTGCATGGTATAAAATTAACTAGGGATTGAGTCAGAGTTGTATTCTCTCTCCATACCTATTTAATCTATATGCTCAGCAAATTATTATGGAAATTAGACTCTATGAAGAGGAATGTGGTATCAGGATCAAAGGGAGACTCATCAATAATCTGCATTATGCAGATGACACAATCTTTCTTGCTGAAAGTGAGGAGGACTTGAACCACTTGTTGCAGAATATAAAGGAATGCAACCTTCAATATGGATTGCATCTCAACATCAAGAAAACAAAGATTCTTACCACTGGACTGATAAGCAACATCATACTGGATGGAGAAGAGATTAAATCTGTCAACAACTTGATTTTACTTGGATCCATAATTAACACCCTTGGTACCAACAGTCAGGCAATCAAGAGACACATCGTACTGGAAAAGTTTGCAGTTAGAGGCTTCTCCAAGTTATTGAGGAGTAACTATGTCCGTTTAGGACTAAGGTGCATCTGACTCAGGACACAGTCATTCTGATCACTTGCTCTGCATCCAAGACTGAACAATGAATAGGGATGACAAAAGAAAAATCATGCCTTTGAGCTGTGGTATTGGAGAAGAGCACTGAACATCCCATAAATGGCCCAAAGAACAAACAGATATGTCTTGGAGGGGGTGCAGCTGGAATTCTCTTTGGAGGCAAGAATGATGAGGTGAATCACATACTTTGGGCATGTTGCCAGAAGGGGCTATTCCTTGAAGAGGGACGTGATCTTTGGAAGGGTGGAGGGTCAGCGAAGGAGTAGACCCTTGGCCAGGTGGATTGACACAGTGACTGCTTCAATGGGCTCTCATGTGTCAGGAAGTGTGAAGATGGCACAGATTAGGACAAAGTTCAGATCAACAGCACCTAACAATAACACACATTCTCTTGTGTTCCTATTTTTCTGAGTGTTTCAATCAGAAATGGGTGCAGAATTTTGTTTAAGGCTTTTTCTGTATCAGTTGATAAGATGATGTGGTTCTTGTTATTTGCTTTGCTAATGTGATGAATTATGTTGATTTTTTTCTTATATTGAATAATTCTTGCATACCTGTTATGGATTCGACTTGGTCATTATGAATTATTTTTGTATGTGCTGTTGGATTCTATTGGCTAGGATTTTTTTAAAGGATTTGTGCATCTGTATTTATGAGATATATTGGTCTGTAGTGTTTTTTTAATATATATAATATCTTTGCCTGGCTTTGGTATTGGAGTCATACTTGTTTTTTT